GAAGATGTTGCCGAAGCCGCCCGTGCCGATCTTCTCGACAAGCTCGATCTCCTCCCAGCTCACATGCGTCGCGTCCTCGAGGAGCGCCATCCCGCCGCTGACCGAGTCCTCGCGGCGGAGGCCGCTCCGCTGAAGGCCCGAGCCGCCCACGCCGCCCGCTTCGGGCCAGCTGCGCCACGACCGCCGCGTGCCCGTGCCTCTTCGCGTCGTCCAGCGGCGTGCCGCCCCAGCGGTCGCAGATGCTGGGCTGCGCTCCCGCCGCGATCAGGAGCGCGACGACCTCGCCATGCCCGTTGCTCGCGGCGAGGTGAAGCGCGGTCCGGTTGTCATAGTCCTGCGGCAGATCTCTCAGGCAGTAGTCATCGAGCACCTCCCTCACGCGCTGCACATTGCCCGCCGCAGCTGCCGAAGTCAGCTTCGCCGCAGCTTGCTCCGCAGACATTCCGAGCTGCGCGCCGGCGTCGCGAAGCACCTGCGCGATCTCCTTGTGGTCGTGGCGCAGCGCGTCGTCGAGGGCCGACCCGTTCCAGCGGTCGCTCCGGATCACCGCTGCGCCCGACTCGAGCAGCAGCTTGACTATTGCCATGTGGCCCTCGCTCGCCGCGACGTGGAGCGGCGTACGCTTATCATAGTCGCAAAAGTTTGCCAGCTGTCTGCCGTGCTGCTTCAGGAGGGCCCCGACTGCGTGCTCGTCGTTGCTCCAAGCGGCGTACATGAGCAGCGTGCCAGCGTATCGGTGGTCCGGCTGGGTGCTCAGTTTGCCGAACGCCGTGAGGTCAGCGGGCATCGAGGAGTGGGACTGCATGCGCCGGGTGCTCTGAAGAGACGAGGATATGCACATGCATGCGGCGGTGTCGGAAAGGGCACAAGCTTCGTGACTGACTCGTAAAGAAAGAAAGAAGTAAAACGAGTGCGGTGGTGCTGCGGAGATGCTGGGTCTTTCTTTTCAGCTAGCTCGCGCAAGTTCGCACCTGTTCGTCATGAAGTTTTCTCCTCTCTCTTGAGTCCCCCCGAACCCTCGTGTTCTCTATGAGGAGTTTGTTGTATTAAGTGGCGTTTTTTTCTCACTCACTCACTCACTCACTCACCAGTCAGACAGTCACTCTTCTTCCCCCCCCCATCCCCCGCCCTCCCTCCCCCCCCCCCCCCCAAACCAAATCCCCCAGTCGGGCCTCTTCGTTCTTTTCACCCCCCTCGCGCCTCCTTCGTCCTTGACCTTGTCCACGACCACCGTCGCCCTTTCCTCATTTCGTTTCTCCTTTTTTTATTCTTCGGGATTTATTTTCTTTTTCGTGAGGCGTTCAAATCACTAGACTAGACGAAGGTTTTGAGGCGCGCGCGCGCGCACACACACACACACACACTCACTCACTCACTCACTCCCGAAACGCCCTCGCCGTCTCGTTGTCGCCCGCCGCCTCAAACAGCGCCCCGAGCGCCTTGCGGTACGGCTCAAAGTAGTCGTCGCGCCGCCTCCCCGGCCACGCGGCGGGCAGGTGCGGCAGGATGTACGGCACCGTCTGGCCGCGCTTCATGAAGTTGGGGTGCGTGGTGCAGCAGTACGCGTCGAGCAGCTCCTGCGCCTGCTCGTGCCACTCCGCGCCCTTTGCGCTGCTCTCGAAGCGGCCGAGCGCCGCCTCGATGTCGGCAAAGTGCAGCACCGGCGCGTCGACGCGGCCGAGACGCCTCACCAGCTCCGCCTCGCTCGCGCCCGTGGCGAGGGCGAGCCCCTCGGAACCGTCGAAGCAGGACGCGCCGGCGGGGCACGGCAGCACGACCTGCCGCCGCCACTGCTCCGCCCCGGCGGTGCGCTTGCCCTCGAGGAAGCCGCGCTCGCGGTGGGCGAAGGGCGAGTCGGCGAGGGCAGCGGGGGAGAGGTAGTGGTCGATCGGGCAGAGGTACGGCAGCGGCAGCGTCGGGTGGTCTGGCGCTCGGCAAGCCTCGTGCAC